TTATTTTTACCTACGCGTGGATATAAAGAACGTCAAAAACGGAGCTCGTATGCGAAAGTTACGGATTTTAGAAGTCGGAAGTGTGCTGTGCGAAAATGAGTGATGTGGCACAATCTTGGCCATTGCTTTCTCCCCAAGTCTTGCCACCAGATGGTGACATGTGGCACCAAGTTCAGCCATATTTCACCCTATAAATAGAACCTCTCCCACCCTTATTTTCTTCACACCTTTCGCATTCTTTCTTCTCTCTACACTCTCTCTCTCTCTAAACCTCCCAAAAACTCCCTTAGCGCCAGAAGAAAGCCCCGCAGCGCTCGACGGCTTCGAGAAGAAGAGCTTTCGGCACAGAAGTCCTGCCCCTGTAGAGCCCGACTTCTAGCCAAACCCCCTCGTAGGTAAGATACGCCTACCTAATTTTTAATATAGCTTTTATTTAAATATAGCAACGTTATTAGGACCTTATAATAATTATTTGAGCTATTATTATGGGTTATATAAGTGTCGTTATAATATCTTTTTAACTACTCGCGGTACGGGGAATCTGGTTTAAAGGGCCGCATAGGGTTGTTGGATTTCAGAAGTGCTATATGCCAAAATGGTCTTGCCCTCCGGTGTTTTATGTCTGGCCCCTGTTTGTACATAGTGGTTGGAAAATATTGTTTAAACGCTTATATAATAATAATAGTGCTAAGACTAATAATTAGTCACGATAAATATTAGACTAAAATTTAACGATAATAATGCTAGGTTTCGTCGAAGGAAAATAGAACCGTTAAAAGTGAAGCGCTACCTGAGTTTGGAATAGGGATGCAAATTTTACCCATCGATTCGGGTACCCGCGGGTACCCGACCCGTTAGGGTCGGGTTTTACCCGGTTTAGCGGGTAACGGGGCAGGGACGGGCGCAGATTTTTATACCCGCAGCGGGGACGGGTCGGAGACGGATATGACACTATCCGACCAGTTTAAAACCCGATTATATATATATATATATATATATATATATATATATATATATATATATATATATATATATATTGTTTATGGAAAATTGATTCGTGAATCACAGTATCAAGACGACGCTTCGGAATTGACTCCTCGTTTCTTCAAGCCATTAACTGATCTCAATCTCTCTCTAATCTCCTTTCCTAGAATCAAAAATTACAATTTCATTTTAAAAAATGCAGCCACCCTTCGTCTTTGATTCTCAGTTCTTCACAAAATCACGACATCAATCTTTCACCTTCAAGCTACCCTGCTATCATCACCGATTCAGCGCTCATGGAATTAGAGGAGAACAACCTACAAGAAGTTCCAGCTTCATCCCAAAATCCTAAGCCCAGGTAAGTTTTCGATTTCATTTTCTTACACTCGATTTTGGTATTATCGATTTCTGGTATAACCGATTCTAGTATAATCGATTTCTTGTATAGTCGATTTCTGGTATAATCGATTTCTTGATTGAATGATTTTTGGTTGTATCTGTTTTGAGTGATGTTGGTTATAATCGATTTTCTTAATCACTAGATTTCTTACACTCAATTTTGTTATAATCGATTTCATGCCTTGAACTTGATTACAACCATTGAATCTTTTCTCCTGTAACTTATTTGTTACATGCTTTTGATTTTATTTTATTAAACTCGATTTTGGTGTTAACCCTATTAAACTGATGGATTTGTATATTTTTTGAGTGATGTTGTTTACAATCGATAACTTAGTCACTCAATTTCTTACACTTCATTTTGTTATAATCAATATCATGCCTTCAATTTGATTGCAGCCACTGAATCTTTTTTTGCTGTAACATATTTGTTAAATGTTTGTCTGGAAAGTAGAAAGTAGAAACTTATTAAGTCAACAATTTTTTTCTGTTTTGGTTGTAATCTCAGTGAATTACACTGATTAAATATTTGTCTGGATATGGTACTACCACGTTTTTTTGTAGCTTTAGGAATCTTGTTTTCTTGTAAGTTGTAACTAAAATATGATTTCTAGTAAAACAGAAATCTGATTGTTGCATAAAGTGGAACTGATTTCTAGCAAAGTGCATTGTTTTTACATCTTTTTTACTGCATATATGTAATTGTTTTTTGTATTATCAATGAATCTAATTTCTAGCAAACTGCATTTTTTTAGCAACATCTATGTTCTATCAATCCGATTTCAACCATATTTTTTGTTTTTTTTTTTTGCAGTGACACTCAAGATAGATAGCCCCCACAACCAAGTGTTGATGTTCCTGGAACAACAGATGGGCAAGTTGTTAGAGCAACAAATGGACAGGTTATTGAAGTTATAAAAGATGATGAAGCCGGTCCAAGCTTTGTGGATTTTGATATTTAGTTCATGAATAATTGTTGTTTTTATTTTAGTTATTTAACAAACATGAGGATGTCGTGCTTATCTTTTCCTTTTTGTTTTTACTATTTTGTGTACGAGAATGAAGTATGAATTGTTGAATGTTTTAGTTATCATGATTATTACTATGTCTTTTTTATATATATCTCAGATTTATTAAAAAAATGATTGGATCCTTTTTACTTAACGGATATCCATCGGGTTCCCCGTATCCGACGGGTTTTCTTTTACCCGAATCCGTCGGGGATTTGGCGGGTCGGGGGCGGGGACATGTATTGTAGTATCCGACAATATCCGCCCCCGTTTGTATCTCTAGTTTGGAATCATCACTTTAACAAGTGAGTGCATAGTTACTTTCATCTTACACATAGATATGAAATATTTTATATAAATTACGTGTTATGTGTGCATATTATCTGTATACTTGTTATCTATGCTGGATGAACGATTTTATACATGTTTTAAATAATTTAAACTGTATATGTATTTTATATCTATGAATATGTTGGGTAAAACATGGGTAGATGAATGATGAGAGATGAAAGATGATATGAGTGAACATTGACAGCTATAGACTTAGTGCCTAACAAATAACATCAGCAGCTATGGACTTAGTGCCTATTGAATAAACGTTGGTAGCTATGAACTTAGTACCTGTTAGATAAACGGTGGTAGCTATGGACTTAGTACCTATTAGATAAACACTGGTAGCTATGAATTTAGTACCCGATGAATAAACTTTAGCAACTATGGAATTAGTGCTTTACGAACGAGCATTGTCAGCTATGGACTTAGTGCCTGTCATATAAACCCTAGAAACAATGGACTTCAGAATGAACGAATGCAGGATAAATGACTCTTAGGGTAGACCTTAAGAGTAAGGAAGATAATGGGGATGGGTAATTGGGTTGATTGTTTGATGTTTAAACATAATAATTAAATTATTGTGGGTTGAAAACCCTATGTACTCACCAGGTTTCCCAACCTGACCCACCCAAGCTTGTTTGTATCAAAGGTGTCGATATGAAGTTACATTACACTGAGATATTAAAGAGATGTAGATCACTAGTGTAATTGAATGTAAGTTATGTTTATGCTTATGTTTCTGTATTGATGATGACATCCCAAATGTTTTAAAATGAACAAAAATACATTTCTTCGGAAATGCTTTGATAACGTATTTATCATGTTTTTCTGGGAACAAATTCCGCAACACTTTTATTTAAAATGTTACTCTGATTTTTATAAAGCATAAACAAAATCGGTCTTTTGGCCGTGAAAATGGGGATGTCACATAATGAATCATGAGTTTTTTAAGAGATGAGAAGAGGTTAAAAGATACAAGTCCATGTATGTACCAAGTAGAGTAGCCCTGTCGAAAATACCCGATACCCGAATTACCCACCCGATTTTTTCGAGTATCGGGTAAATCGGGTATCGGGTAAATTTTTTCGGGTAATAGGGTAACCCGATTTTTTTTCGGGTAGGGTAAAGGGTACGTTTATTGGGTTTCGGGTATACCCGAATTACCCAAATTATTTTAAAAACTCTTTTTTTTTCGTAAAGCTTGTACTCTGTAGCAAGTATTTGATCACGCTTAAACTAACTATCATTATTGTAAAACATGAATCTTTTTTATTATGACAATATGACACGAACAATATTAAAAGCAATTGTTTATATATCACCATGTTCTTTAAAACTTAACTATTTTCTATATTATAGTTTTTATTGCAACTAACAAACTCATTATCTTGACGAAACTTAAGTACATATCAAAACTTATGGCTACAATTATCTTAAACATTTTAAACTTTTAAATTAAGATCTTTAAGTATTTGTTTTTTTAACATCTTATTAGATTAGATTAAGTTGTTAAAAAAATTGCTTGATATCTCAAGTATTATTGAGTAAAAAATCTCAATGTTCAAAGCTTGAGTAACTTCGTTTATGCCTCGTTTGTTTATATAAACAAGACTAATAAAGCACGACGTATTTATCATTAAAATTATTTTCAGGTGCAATTTAAAAAAAAAAATTATATATTTCGGGTAATACCCGAATTATCCAAACCCGACCCGTTACCCGAATTACCCGAATTTAATTTGGGTCGGGTAACGGGTATTTTTTTTAACATGAATTACCCGAATTACCCGACCCGATTTACCCGAAACCCAAAAAAATTACCCGATCAACACCCCTAAAGTAGAGGGCGCACATATTTTTTTTATGAAAAAACAAACGATCTGCAAGAACATATGTCTGCACGTTGTCTGCGTTGCACAGACATAAGAGGTCAAAAAGAAGTTTTTGAAAAAACAATCACCCCTAAATTTTTATTGCATTTGTCATCATTTAAAGGTGATAGATAATGAATAGGAAGAAAAAGTATGAAGATATTTAATTTTTTTATAAAGAAAGACCATTTTTATTTTTGTTTTTGTTTTTTTACCATTTAACAAGGCATTACCTCATTTTGCATTGCGATTTTTTTAATTTTGTTTATTTTTATTAAAACTTAAAATAAATGGCTAATTTTAGAAAAAAACAATAACTGGATATTAAGAAATTAGTTTTTTAAAACAATTAAATAAATGATAAAAAGACAAAAGACAAATAAAATAACATATAAAAGGAAAAGGGAAAGAAGTTTCGTAATGCTACTCCAGATGCACACACGCACAAGTACGTGTACATGTGTGTGTTATATATAAAGTTGTATCTGCATATACGACCTAAAACCCTTTCAATTTTTAATTTCTTCGATATTCCTTAATAGTTTTAATCTCTAGTGATGATGATATGAGGAATTCGAATTTGATTATTCAATCTTTGATTTTTCCGATTTTGTTTTCATTGGTTTTTTCAAGAATTTTTAATATTATTGATTTGATTTGAGGAGTTCCCAAAAAATCATGGAAGAAAAAGGTCAACAGGGAAAAGATCGAGTCTCTCCTGCTTCAATCTCAGCTTTGCCCTTACATGGTGAGATGTATTCTTTGCTTATTTACGAAATTCTTCGTATTCATCTAGTAATAATGCGAAATTCGTCTGGTTAATTTGGGGAAAAACGATCGATTTCGCTATAATCTGCAACATTGTTGTTATGTTGTTTGCGTTATTGATGACTTTCGCAATATGGATTGATCGTGAATTTTACTTTGTGTATGCGAACTTCTCTTTTTTTTTGTTCGTTCTATAGGATTTGGGAATCTAGGGTTTCTACTCATTGATTTCATATGTTTTTACCATGAATTAGGTTTTTTTTTTTTTTTTTTTTTTTTTTTTTTTTTTTTTTTTTTTTTACGAATTGATGTTGATTGATCCGGTGGAATTTGGAGTTCAGTAGAAGTTTGAGTCCGAATAGATCTTTGTTTTGGGATCGGATCTTGCGCCTAGTTTATTCTAGACCTAAAAAACAAGGTTCATTGTAATGTTGCCCTTTTTCATTGGTTAAGTTTCATATCCTCTTCAAATTTATGGATACACGTCGATTTTGAATCAATTAGCGATTTAGCCAATCTGCGAAGCAATTGCATGCAGTATCTCAAATTGTGTTTCAATATTTCATCGACCATTGGGTCACTGCATTGTGATATTGACTTTGGTACCCTCATACCGAGTCTTGTTTTACCCTGATTTCAAAAGGATCACTAATTCCTCTACAATTATGAAACTTTTTGCAGGTGATGGGCTTGTGCCTGATAACTACACGGATAAGGTACTTGTTAGCTATTCAATTCTATTTATCTTAATTTCCCCTTTCATATATGTTTTTGATTAGTTCTTTATTTGTATAATCAGCCACTTTCTCCCAAAGATGAAAGGATTGTTTCTCCAAATCCTTCTCCAGATGCAGCCCTCACAGGGTCCATGAGAAACATATCCAACCAATCAGAACCATTTAATGCAAGTGGAGCTCCAACCCCTGTAAATCCATCCAATATTTTTGCTCCTCCAGAGCAAACCTACTTTTATGGAGGTTAGTCTGCTTTAACTATGGTAATATCCCTTTCTTTTTCTTGTTTCATTAATCCTCTCATAACATTTTCATCCCAATTTCGGCTTTTCAGGTTATGATGATGGCTCAGCTAACTGGGGAGACTATTCTAATTATGTTCATGCTAATAACTTGCAGATTGTGCCTCCGGTGAGTAATCAAATACTCTTTTCTTTGCATCAATAAGTGAGGTCTCAAGTTCAAGCCTAGTCACCACCTTCATTGCTCTTGGGACATTGTGATTTACCTCTCACATGTTGGTTGTGGGACCCATTGGTGAGGGTGCCAGGGTGGCATATACCCTTTTTGCCTATTATGGCGTATACCCCTTTTACCTATTAAGGGTCTATGCCACCTTGGCACACTCACCAATGGGTCCCACAACCAACATGTGAGAGGTGAATCACAATGTCTGAAGAGCAATGAAGGTGATGACTAGGCTTGAACTTGAGGCCTCACTTATGGATCCTCACATTCATGCATGAATATAGTTTCTTATTTTTTTGAGTTAATGTAGGCAATTTACAATGAGAATGCATCATCACTATTATTTCACCCTGCATATGGATTCGATTACAGCCAGTTTTCTCCTGTTGCTAGTCCCATGTCTCCAATAATGATAGATGGACAGCTGTTTTCACCTCATCAAGTTCCAATCTCTCCTTCTTACTATTCACAGCCTGTTTCTCCTAACTTACCTCAAACTGATCTTTCACCACCACCAAACAGTGGGATGCAAATGCAAGAGGGTCTTGGGGACAATGTTTTTATGGCTCCAAGTCCAGGATCAGGTTATTATTTACAATATGGTTCTTTTGGTGGTGGGAATGTGAATGGAAACCCTTCTGGAAATAATAATTTTGGATATTATAAATATCCAGGAGACATTGGGTCTAATGAATCAATGTCTTCAGATACTAATAGCTATGTGTCTCCAATCACATCTGGGGGTTTATACCCTGCTCCACTTGGTATTCTTGGATCATATGAACACATTTTTAGTCAGGTTTGTTTCTTCTTTATTTCTTTTTACCCTTTACTTTATCAGTATATGTATTTCATTATTTACTTAATTTCCAGATTCCACAACAGCAGTATGGATACGGATACGGGTCAGGATCCGGATCCTCCACAAGACGCTACCCACAAACCGGATCTTTTCGAGGGCAAAACTTTGGAAACAATTCCATTTTTCAAGGGGAAGCAAGTCGCCTGAACCGTTTCATCCCTGAAAAAGGCGGGAAGCATAGGGACAAAGATGGAATTAGCATGATTAGTGAACCACATGGTACTACCAGTGATCGAAACAGAGGACCAAGGGCATCAAAGCCAAAAGGAGAGCAGATATCTGAGGGTAAAATCGACCTTTACAATCAACCGGATTTTGTCACTAGTTATGAGAATGCAAAGTTCTTTGTAATAAAGTCTTTTAGTGAAGATAATGTCCATAAAAGTATCAAGTATAGTGTTTGGGCAAGTACCCCTTTGGGAAACCGAAAACTTGATGCTGCTTATCAAGAAGCAAAGGAATCTGAAGCCAATTGTCCAGTCTTTCTCTTCTTTTCTGTGAGTTTCTTAACTCTAGAATCATGAATTCCATTCCATTCCATTCCTTCATATTACTAATGATTTTTTGAATGTAGGTAAATGCAAGTGGACAGTTTTGTGGAGTTGCAGAAATGGTGGGACCCGTGGATTTTGTGAATGATGCAGAATATTGGCAGCAGGACAGGTGGAGTGGTCAATTCCGTGTCAAATGGCACATCATCAAAGATGTTCCAAATAGCCGATTCCGACATATTCTTCTTGAAAATAATGACAACAAACCTGTTACTCATAGCAGAGATTCACAAGAGGTGGGAAAGGACGTAAATACCCTTTTGTGTTTATGTCTTTTTATTGGTCTAATTTGGTGTACTACTGTTTGTGTAGGTGAAACTAGAAGTGGGGATTGCAATGTTGAAGATCTTTAAAGATCATGATGCAGAGACATCGATCTTGGATGATTTTGGTTTCTATGATGAACGAGAGAAGGATTTGCAGGAAAAGAGGTCAAAAGAGCGTGAATTTACCAAAAACACCCTCAATGTCAATGATACTTCAATAACTCAACTTGCTGATAAAGTTGCAGACTCCCTCCATGTGGATGAGAAGACGGAAATACAGTAAAAAAAAAAATTAGTAAATCGGTTGTTCTTTTATACTCCCGGAAGTGGTAAAAGTTGAAACTACTCTGACCCGTAAATTGTTTTAGTAAAATATGGTAATTTTTCGGTGTTTTGAGAGGGTGTGGGGTATGGGAGTTGACTCTGTTTGACTTTTGGGCAACCTTGTAATTTGTCACCCCTTCTTGTTTCTAAAAGGGTAGGTGGTGGTGGTGGTGGTGGTGGTGGTGGTGGTGAGAGAGAAGGATATGTAGTTTAAAGTTTTTTGGTTTATTTGTAGGAGGGTGGTGGTGGTTATTGAGTTGCTCCTCAAAAGTGTACAATTTCTCTAAAGTAAAAGAATGAATGAAAATATATTATGCTAGCAAAGCCCGACTTTTGGCACTTTTTGTGTGTTGTTTTATTTTTAATGATGATAACGAGGGTATTTACGTTTTTTTGCATATATGCAAGATTGATAGTTAAGGTTATTTTGAGAATGAGGGGCATTCTTGTCTTTTGCATGAATGAGAAACCAAAGGTACCTAAATAATTTTTGGTACTCAAACAATAAGATTTAAAATCATATTAAGAACCTTAAATATAGTAAATTTGTACACTATAATCGAACATCGCAAAGAAGCCATGTACATATCAACGGAAAAGAACTGCGAACGACAACTAGGGGCAATTTTGACATTTCACCATCTCACTCTTATCGAGTTGTATACATCAATGTACTTGCCAGCTGTTTTGTTCCAGCTGTTATCGATTTGCATAACTCTTTGAACGATATTCTCCCACTCAATCGGTTCTGCATCAATCCCGTATGTATAACAGTATAAGCGTTTCTTTTTTTATATATATATAAATATAAATAACGACTTAATAGAACTAAACTCCAACTTTTTTCCATTTAACCCAAGTTTTACGTGATTTTCTCAAATATTTTTTCAACATTATTTATCCAAACAATAGTGAAATAAAAGTAACATGGCCTTACTTTCTTGGTAATACGAAAATGCTCGATCAAGAGCACAACTTAGGGAGCCTTCATCAATTCCTTCAAAGACAAACCTTTAAAAAAAAAAAAAAAAAAAAAAAAGCATATCAAAATATAAATACATTACTTGTATTGGTAACGAGAATAACTATTTATCGCAATTTTCCCTTTTTTGTAAATAATTAAAGTTAAATAATAATCAAACCGATTACCCGTTGGCCATCTCGGGATGTGACTCATCATCCATATCAAAAACAGTGTCAGCAAGACCGCCGGTTTTTCTTACTATTGGTACCTGAATATTAATAATAATAATAAAACTGTTTATATAAAAAAATAAATAAATAAATAAGTAGGATATTTTGGAGAGAATAATATACTGATCCATAACGCATTCCGATCATCTGAGCTAGGCCACATGGCTCATATATTGAAGGAACCAACACCACGTCAGCACCTGCATACAGCATGTGTGACAACTCCTCACTTCAATTGCCACACACACACACACATTTTATCATAAAATATATATTATTGATTTTTTTTTTTAATGATTATTATCATTATAATAGTTGAATGTCTAAAACGATAAACAGAACATACGTTGTGCTTTTATGTAGTTTAGGAAAAATGATTTGTTTAAACGATAAAAAGAAAGTAAAATGGTTTAATTAGTAAGTGAGTAAATCGATAAAATGGAGAGATTAATTACAGCTGCTTTTATGTATCTTGAAATTTATGCATATGAGATACTTTACCTATACATTAAGAGGATGCGAATTGTTGAACCTTTGTTATGCTACAAAAGAGAAATAACTAATAAGTGATGGATTTCTACTAAAAGACCAAAATACCCTCATTATCAGATATAATACAAAATTACCAAATCAGCTAGAGCTTCAAATTCTCTTTGAACCCTACTATCTGGAGCTTTTCCAAGAACAATCATTTGTCCACCCTTCAAAACAACAAGAAATTATCCGAATGTTTCTTTTCTTTTTCTTTCATTAAATGCTAAAAATAACATTTCAAGCAACTTACAGTTTCTTGAATATGATTGATGGCATGTCTAATGAGATGAAGACCTTTTTGAGCAACTAATCGAGAAACACAAACAACTAAAGGCACTCTTTCAGACCCTTCTAGAATCAAACCAAATCCCCTTTGGAGATATTTTTTGCATACTTTCTTTCCACCAGTGTTTTGAGCTGAAAAATAATGTCAAAAAAATAAAATTTGGTAAATGAAGTTTTCATTAGATTTGTGGAAGAAAACACAGAAAATTATGTTGAATGTTACCATGATAGTTGGTAGGTAAGAAAACATCAGAAGCAGGATTCCACATAACAGTATCAATCCCATTAAGAATACCATAGTACCTACAAATCAAGATTAAATAGCAATGTATTTTCATTCATTTGTTTATTAAAGGAATTCTACATTGAAAAAACTTCCCAATTATAGCAATGTCATCCAAATACTAAACAATTTTCACTGCTATAATAAGAAAAAAGAAAATTGAGTTTACTTGTCATGATTTGTCATCAAAGCACTTGAAAGCCATCCAGAACACAGTGTTTCTTTAAGGTAAGTTGGAGAAACTGTACTGGAAAAAGAAACAAGAATCACTTTTTTTTTTTATCATTTATTATATTTTTCAAGGTGATAAATGAAGAATAAGAAGTAAATTGAAAGAGAAAAGGTAAAATTCAAACACCCTTTTATTGGATTGAATAAATTTTAACTCTGTTACTAGGTTAAAACAAAAGGAATGACTGAATATTATTATTATCTCACTCATGATGGGATAAAAGTTAAAACAAACACACTGTTATTTATTGTTTTAAGGAAATTTAATGGAATGTGTAAGATTTCAGATAACTTACACTACTGAATTGCTGTATACAATGCCACCTTTCAATAAACTTAGCCTCTCAGGATTATGGCCAATGGTTCTATCATCAATCGCCTGTTAAATTGAGCAAAAGAAAAGAAAAGATTCATTTTTTCTCCAACAATCATATAAACAATCAATACAAAGAGAATAGTGTTTGAAAAAAACTCAAAGATGCTGAATTTTTAGTTGCAATTAGGTCTCAAAGAAACGTATAAACATCATCAAAGATGTTGAATGATCTGTTGTTTCAGTGAACAGATTATTACATGACAATATTAAAGTTGTTAAATCCAATAGTATTTAATAGTAATGCTATTTATTAACCATAAGTAGTTCTTTTTATCTTTTGTAAGTACCTCTAATAATGACACAACACAAATATTAATATTATGACTTACTTTGTCAATAGTTGCATATAAAGATCCATCAAGACCACACTTTTGAAGCTGCTCTTGTCTGACAAATCATATCATAAGTATACACAAGTAAATTACACACAAAAAACATATTATCTATAAATTATAAATTAACAAAAAGATGAGTAATTATAACTTATAAGAATACCTGCACTCCCCATAATGTTCCATGTTATGGATTGTCAATACTATTCTTGGTTTCTATAAAGTACAAATTTCAATATTATGAGTTAATGAATACTTTTAAAGATATTAATCAAAGAAAAATCCTTAAACTAAGATCATGCCTGAAGTGAAAGATGATGATAAATGTCCCAATAGAGGAGTGGAAGTACACCTGTCTGCCATTCATGGACATGTATGACATCAGGTTGTGTTCCAGTTACCTGCATTTAGTCAATGGATTCTTAAAAAAGAATCATAGAAGGTAGTTTGATGATAGAAAACATGGTAATAAAAAAAAAAGCTTTAACAAATTATCTTCTTAAACACAATATAAAGTTATAAACAAGTTGATGAAGAGTAAGCTACAAACCTGCATCCATTCAAGGCAAGCTCGACTGAAAAACAAATAAGCTTCCAACTCATTGTAAGAACCTCCATATACATCTTCCCCTTTGAAGAATTGGTTCATTGGTTCCAAAAGTATAACTGGAATGCCAGATACCATTCCAGAGTATGCATTAGTTTCAATCCAGTTTCCATCATAATATGAATTGTAAGTAGACATTAGTGAGATTTCTTGGATATTCTGTTTCTGAATGCACTCATAGAAAGGAAGCATAATGTCAACTTTATGTCCACGTGATAAACATGCACGAGATAGCCCAGTTACTACATCACCAAGTCCACCAACTTTTGCTATTGGTGCCATTTCAGCAGTTACATGAATAACATGCAAAAGATCAGAGTCTTTCTCTATGTTAACAGGAACTTCGGAATTGGAATCCCAAGTCTGGAATTCCCTTTTCCAGAATGGGATTTTGTCACTTGGAGAAGGCCATTCAATTTCTTTTAGTCTCGTAGTAGTTAAAGATTTTGGATTGTCAGCAGCCACCTTTCACATGTATAACAATAATGAGAGCTTTTAATGAATAACAGAAATATTGTCAAGTAAGAAAGAGTATGTGAATATTCATGGTTTAGAGTAGAAAATGGGTTAAATGCAAGAATAGAAATGATCTTTTATTGATTTGTTTATTATAGCATCCTACTTTCAGTTCTTGTACTTAGAAAAATCTACCTGATTATAACAATGGCATCCAAATACAAAGCAATTTTCACTGCTATAATTGGGTAGAGTCTATTGTTGTGTATGAATCACTTCACCTCTTTGAAGTATAATTTTGAAAAAAAGATTGAATACAATGCTGTAATTGGGTAGATTTTAGAAGTACAATGTTGTGAAGGAAAGAAATGAAAGTAGGATGATATACTTTAATACTCCACAAATAATTGACATTATGTTGCTACTTGTTTCATAATGGAAGATTAGCCACAATTATACATAGATTACAGATTTGTGATGATTATGTCAAGCTAACATGAGTAAGGAAACTATTTTGAAGTCCCAAACGCTTAAACCACTAGCCCCTGATTAAGATCATGTTATAGTCGGTCTACATGGTGCCATGTTATAATAAAATTCAATAATTGAAAATTTGAACATGAAATCTTTTTGAAGGCTTCTTTGCTACTTCATGGAAAACAACCATTATAGAGAGCAAGCATGATAAACCAGATCCATTTCAAGCTTGAAGAATGAAGCATTTGATCACCCAATGTGTTAAAAAATTCGGGGAAATACATTTTTTGGAAGGGAAAAGAACAACATATGAGATAATTGTTACCTCGTCCAGATGAACAGCTTGAATTTTGAGATTGAGTGAAGACCGATTTGAGAAACCAAATAAAAACTTGTTGTTGTTACTGTTCTTCCTCTTTCCAATTGAAACAGTGAAGCAATCTGATGTTTTGGTTGGGAGAACCCCATATACAGAAGAATTGACAGCAATACTCGATATATCCATCGATTTATCTCCTCCTCACTACGAAATTGAATTTCTCATGAATCCATCAACATTAACTCTGTGAAAAGACAGAATTGAGAATCGCATGATTTATGGCAGTGATTGAGATCGAAAAGCCGTCATTGTCGCTGCGAAAGAGAGTTTGGAAGCACACAAGCCAACGCTTTCATGGATTTTGCAGCCACCATTCGAGATTCGAGCATAATTCCCTTTTCAACTTTCCGTATATCGTATCTTAATTCTTAATCAGGTCATTTCTTTTATCTTTTCGCAGATCAAAGTGTTATAAATTACAACTCACGAAGCTGTGCTTACCCATACATCAGCACTGTTTTGTATATCCCTTCAAATTTAAGAATATGAATTATCTAAAAGCAGAATTGAAACAAATAAAAAAAATGATATGGCAGATAGTTTGTGTTTTTTATCAACTTAAATCACATGAATATCCTGCTCATTTACATTATTAATATTTTAATTGATTGTATATTTAGTTATAAACATATTCGATAAAATTTGTTAAAGTAAGCAACAACATCACGTGTCTCTTTTGTTTTACTGCATTAAATTAAGTAATTTGTTTTGGTTTGTTAGTGAACTTCTGTGTTAATAGTCTTAAGATCATGGAGTCTATTTCCTATTTGGCCTCCTTTGTATGCCAAAGGAATTACTCAACTATGGGTTATGGGAAGTTTATGTGCAACTCAGTTCTACCTCTTCACTTCTGTTGTAGAGTCAAAGTCAAAGTCAAGAGATAGAATAAAAAAATCCGTGTAATATATATTAAGAAAAAAAAAATAAAAACCATAATTTCATTAGAAATTATATATATATATATATATATATATATATATATATATATTACATTTTAAAGTCGAAATTTAAAATAGACAAATAATAGAAATTTGAAACAATCTAAACTAACAATAGGAATGAGAGTTGATAATTGTTCAGTATATTAGGGGGTGAGGGGCGTGGAAAGGAGGCAATCGGCATCAAAAAGTCAGTGTTGATAGTGGTGGAGATGGGAGTAAGACATATATATATATATATATATATATATATATATATATATATATATATATATATATATTACATTTTAAAGTTGGCATTTAAAATAGACAAATAATAGAAATTTGAAACAATCTAAACTAATAATAGGAATGAGAGTTGAGACTTGTTCAGTATATTAGGGGGTGAGGGGCGTGGAAAGGGGGTCATCGGCATCAAAAAGTCAGTGTTGATAGTGGTGGAGATGGGAGTAAGACTTTTATATATATATATATATATATATATATATATATATATATATATATATATATATATATATATATATATATATATATATTACATTTTAAAGTTGACATTTAAAATAGACAAATAATAGAAATTTGAAACAATCTAAACTAATAATAGGAATGAGAGTTGAGACTTGTTCAGTATATTAGGGGGTGAGGGGCGTGGAAAGGGTGTCGTTGCATCAAAAAGTCAGTGTTGATAGTGGTGGAGATGGGAGTAAGACCGACGCAGGAGCGTTTTTTTTTTGTATTTTTTTTTTGTAATTTTCGCTGCTTTCTTTCATCCGATTTTAGCAAACAAACAATATGGATTGGTCATTTAGCCTTCTTTTTTTCATTTTATTAATTTGAGATTAAATATGGGCTTAAAATTTTGGACTATCAACACACATTGTGTGCTACTTTAAACATTTAGTTTGGACTATTTTGTGTTTGGATTTATAAGTTAGGAGCAGCCAAATTGTTTTAGGGGTAACCCATAATTTTTTCAAGAATAGTACTGTAATTTTAAAAAATCCGAAAAATATATACTATTGGACAAAATATGAGGGGTAACCCAGGATGCCCTAGGATCCCGTGTACCTCTGTGTATGCTTCACTCCTAAAAGCGTACTAAGCCACACCATGTGCAATCTAAGTCATCAATATGGTATTAGAAAGAGATGACTTTCAAACTATATGATGTCTACTTGCATGATGTCTTACATGCAAAGGCATGATTCGTGGAACTTCAAGTCATTGGTAGAATCAATAAACTTAATAATTAAAATTCAAAACTATTGTGGCAAATGGTTATTTTTTAGAATGAATTTCGAACACTAAAACATCATCAAAATGAGAAAATGATTATATGTCAATGTTCTCCTCCAATATACCTTCATTTTGATATATCATACATCATAAACGGATGAAAGATGAATGAGAAATTGCATGTGGAAGTGATGTATGTATAAGAAATGTAGAATTTCGTATATACTCTTATTGCACGTGGAAGTGATGTATGTATATGAATGAGAATTGCCGGATGGCGGACATCGGAATTGGTGGCCGGTAGAAATGATCAATAATGATGCGTTAGAGATATCGATAACGTTTTCACCCTTCAATCGGTGGGCGACGTTTCATGTCACCAACCTTCTTTTGCTATTTTTTATGTTTAGTTTTAAATGGATTTTACTATTGCTTAATGATTAAATTTTAAGTTGATTCAAAGCATTGAGCTATTTTAAGTGGATTGGAATATAATATATGGGCTTGATACATTTTGATAATTTGTTTGCCAAAATCTATAAGGTAGGTTGTTGAAAAATTATAAGGTAGGATGAAGTCCAAGCTTCCTAACATTCCAAGAAAGTCATGTATGTTTGTATGATGAACACACACACACACACACACACACATATATATATATATATATATATATATATATATATATATATATATATATATATATATATATATATATATATATATATATATATATATGTCACACCCCCAAACCGGAACGGCGGAAATATTCAGGGGTGGATGACGTCATATGTAGTATCACAACAATTACATCATAGTAATCATAGTAAACATAACCATTACATTGAATACATATATGAAAAGGTTTTTACATCTGTTTGATTCTTGTTTTTATACATCAAAAGTATAATCAAAAGAAAAAGACGTAACTTTATACGCTCCGTCTTCTCAAAACTCCAGGAGGTACTTGTCTATTGATTTTCTGAGAATACAAAAAGTTTTGAAAGAGTATCAGCATAAAGCTGGTGAGTTCATAAGCGATGTTTTTGTAATGAAAACCTGTTGATGACTCTGTAAAAATGTTCGCATGTTTCCAAGAAAATCAAATATTTTCTTTAGTAAAAGTGTGATAATATCAGTTCCATCTATGACCACTTAGTTCATGCTAGCCATGTATAAACCAATATCGAGCAGACAGTTGATTATGTGGATCTGCCCTAAGCCCACAACCAAACAACGAACAGGAAATGAGGCGGAAACCACACATTCCACAGTCTATCGAATATTCTCCATACGTAGCCCTGATGCCTAAACTAAGTAATTATAGAATTAACTATGAATGTTTGTTACTGTATCCTGTTGTAATACAGGAAAAACATTAGTTTGTATGTCTGGTTACTACCATTCGTAGTATATGTGTATTCTTGTAGAAAACCTTTGTATAGTTGTTCTGTTTAAAAACCCTGGCTACCACCAGTATGTATAGTATGTTATGTTTTGGAAAACACTGGCTACCACCAGTATGTATAGTATATTTTGTATGAAAACCTTGGCTACCACCAGTATGTATAGTAGTTTCATTACTTAAAATAAAACTAATGAAGAATGAAATCCCGTAAACAAATGGTTAGTTTATACTATTGTGAGTTGTATAACCATGCTTTATATGACCTAGTGACCTTTACGACGTTCTTCAAGTGTCGGTCAAATGACATTTGTCACCCCAGGCATGCCTGCCTAACTGTAGCTAGCAGTTCAGGTGTGGGATTGTCAGTCCCGAATAGATCTATTCACAAATCTCACGCTCTCCCTCCAGGAGACTCTGGTTATACTATGATAGGATTTAATTCAGTACACCTAAGGGTACAGTTTTGAAATAGAGTCTTACAATTTTGTATAATCTAGTTTCATGTAGCATTCTCTTGTATTTGAATCCGTTGTACACTGTATAAGGTAATAATTATACTTAAATAATTATTAAATGTTGTACTCTTGTAGTAATGTATATCATAAACTAAATTTGTCATAGTTTATATGTTTACCCATGCATGTAATCCAAATCGGTAATAGCTGTGTATTGAATTCCCCAAACTATACCTATTATAGTTTGCTTGAAATTTTATGTTCTTGTTTTGTAAATTGTTCTGAAAACTATGCAATTATGTTTCCAAGATAAAAGTGTCCCTTATGCTCAACATAGTACAAAAGGGATAAATATCTAAATATTTCATAAAACGTGGAAATCGTTTGACTGTATCACTTGCATAAGTTTTAAATTTGTTAAAACATTTTTGTTTGTTTCTCAAAATCATTTATGTTTGGCTTGTATTCCCCCTGGAAACATTAAAAATCATAAAAGCCTAGGGGTATGAACTCACTGTTAGTTGCGCACAAGTTTCGAATCAACGAACTGGAATGAATACCCTCGAGTTGTAGTGTGGCACTTAATGGAATCCTAATAACAATTAAATACATATATGTATTTAAATTAGCGATTTCGTTAGATAAAGTGTATTGCTTTCGGTTAAGGAATGTTACCGGGACTTGATTGAATCGAGGAAAGTGGGTTTTCAGTCTAATGCACCACTTAGGAAGTGTGTACGGCCGTGAATGGTGGTTTACGGCCGTGAACAGGTGTACGGCCGTGAACAACCTCTTGAAGGGTGTACGGCCTTTTAAGGTTTGAAACATGTACGGCCGTACACTCAAGAACGAGGATGCTGGATTCGATGAAAAACGTGTTCTAGATGCTCCGAAATGACTCCAAATGACGATTATTGATGATTTTTGGAAGGATAAGAGTGTTTTAGGGGTGTACGGTCACGATTTTAGAGAGAGAAGGAGTGAGTGTTCGGCCAGAAAAGTGTAAATGAGGGGTAGGGTCTCGTATTTATAGGGGTTTTCGAGGTCGGTGGTGGGGTCCATCAGACGCTGGCCGTAAATGAGTGTACGGCCGTACACGAGTTTATGGCCGTAAACTCAGTCAGGCCGAAAACCGAAGTTTTGATCGAAGGATAATTTCGAGATTTCGTGAAGTTTTGGTTCCGACTCATATAAAAACTTAATTATATAAAACTAGATGGTTTTCTCAACCAAGAATTTTGATGGAAACTTAATAAAATTCAAATTTTATTAACGGAAATTGTATAACAGAAACGGCAAAAGTTTCGGGTTGTCACATCATCCCCCCGTTAGAGGAAATTTCGTCCCGAAATTCAGACACATAATACAAATCATGGACTCGGA